AAAAAAAAAAAAAAGTGATTGAGTAGAGGTTTGAACGAGATTTTAGATTTGTATTGAAGTTTATATTTTTTAAAAGGTAATGATTAATGTTGATCTATTATAAAAATAGAATAAATTATATTGGAAGAGGTAGGTATATAAAGTTTTGTGTGAGAAGATGGATACAGATTTTAATTAAAATGTTAAAATAAAAAATTGGTCCGAAAAGATGGTAGATTTCATTGTAGCTAGACCTGTAAATGAGTCGAGCTGAGCTCGAGCCCTTAACGAGTCGAGTCGAGCTCGACTTGTTAAATAAACGGGTCTGAAATCGAGATCGAGCTCTGCTCGTTTATCACCAACACTACAAAAAAAACTCTTACATTCAAACGAAAATTTTTCGTTGGAATTTTTTATATTTCCGTTGAAATAGCTATTCCAACGGATATTCCTACGTATAAAATTCCGTTGGAAAAACGGCCGTTGGAACAACAAATATCCAATGGAAAATCCTATGGAAATAAATTCCTACAGATATTCCAACGGAAAAAATCCGTTGGAATTCCTCAACTATCCAACACTTATTCCAACATAAAATTAAGTTTGTTGGAATATTCATTGAAATTTCCAACAGAAATTTTTGCCGTAAGAATTTTTCGTTGGAATTGTAGTGTTTTTTTGTAGTGTAATAAATAATAACGAGTTGAGGTCGAGCCATAACGAGTCCAATTATAAAAATTCTCTTTTCGAGCCTTATTGAGTCGAGCCGAGCTCAACTTGCTAACCAAACAACTTTTATATGATCTCAAGCTCGGCTCATTTATCAAATGAGCATAACCGAACTCGAGCCGAGCGGAACTGAGTCAGACTTATTTAATTTAACAACACTAATGGTAACCGCGATGCAGTCATCGAATTTTTCACCGTCGAATCAACGCACACTTGTTTTGAGTTCAATATAACGCACACTTGTTTTGAGTTCAATATATTGCCTGCAGAATAAGAATATTTTGGCTCAAGAATTTGTATATTAAAGACAAATTTTTCTCTACCTCATAATTGACTCAGGTGAATATTTTTCCTAACAAATAGCTCCACCTTAAATTTACAGTCTAATTTCCTGACTAAAATTTGTTGTTCAACACTCTTCCCGCCATATATTTCTCACAATTTTGACCTCTTTGTGGTCTCTATCCTTTTCAACACCAGAAATTTTCCCCCTTAAATACTCCCAAAATTCGTTCTAATCATTTGTGCTTTTCTGAGTAAAACGGGCAAAAACAAACAAAAATAGCGAATCACTGATGATTTTGTAGCAACATTTTTTATACAGTGATTCGCTAGCAGCGAAGGAAGAACATAACAGTCGCGTAACATAATTTACGAAGAAAAAAAAGATGTCGAGGCCGGTTTTACTTTTCTTATGCATCGTCTTGCAACTGGCCGTGTCGCTACCCAAATCGAGCGCCAAGATCGCGGTCTTCGACGAGTACCTCCAGAAGCAAGCTAATGAGTCGTACGCGGAGTCTCTAAAGGCATTCAATCCTCATCCAGAAGACCTAACCGACGAATTCAACGAGCTAGTTGGCGAGTACGAGCTAGTTGGGCTTTCCTTTTCCCCCAGTTTCTTACACACATATATATATTCGAACTACCCTTAATTAATTAAATTTCACGTTCTATTTATTTCGTTAGAATCATTCTACTGTTAGGATGACACAGACTTTTACATAATATATATACAAGCGTACGATCTTTTGATATTTCACACATCACATTACCTTTAATAAAATCTAAGACAGTTTATATTGCGTCGTGATGACAATGTAGGAGCTTGGTAGGTGGAAACGACACGAGAAGACAATTGAGGGGCAACAAAGGTTGCAAGGCCACGAACCCCATCGACCGATGCTGGAGGTGCGATCCCAACTGGGCCAAGAACCGGAAGAAGCTCGCTGACTGCGCACGCGGCTTCGGCCACGAAACTTTTGGGGGCAAAAACGGAAAGTACTACTTGGTCACGGACGCGTCGGACGACAGCGTGGACAACCCGCGTCCCGGAACCCTCCGCCACGCGGTCATCCAGTCGGAGCCTCTGTGGATCGTCTTCTCCCATAGTATGGTGATTAAGCTCCGACAAGAGCTAATCATGGCTAGCCACAAGACGATCGACGGTCGAGGCGTGCAGGTCCACATTGCGTACGGGGCCGGGATCACGATACAATTTGTGCGCAACATAATCATACACAATGTGTGGATCCACGACATTGTGGTGGCCCCAGGTGGGATGATTCGAGACTCAGTTGGCCACGTGGGACTCCGAACACAGAGCGACGGCGACGGCATCAACATCTACGGGTCGAGCCGCGTGTGGATCGACCACGTATCGCTATCCAAGGGAGCCGACGGCCTCATCGATGTCATTATGGGCTCCACCGCCATCACAATCTCCAACTGCAAGTTCAACCACCACAACGACGTAAGTTTGACATAATATGCTAGCTACAATAACATGGTGGCTGACATAAAGTTTGACATAATATATATTTGTCAAAACCATAGTTTTACACATCACATCAACTTAACAAAAATCAACAAATCATATCCTGTGTCACAAATTATGTCAATAAATTATGTCAGTGTAGGATTTTTCGCATACGAAACTTTTCCAATCGAAATCGATGGTGGGTTTGTGTAGGTGATGTTGTTGGGGGCCCACGACACGGACGCGAAGGATGCGATCATGCAGGTGACGATCGCGTTCAACAGGTTCGGGATCGGGTG